GCTGGCCCGTAAAGGAAGGCATTTCTGACCCAGGCTACAACCTGGATGAAGCTTGAAGATGTGCTAAGTGAAATAAGCCAGGCACAAAGGGACAAATATCAGGTGATGCCACGTATGTGAAATATCTAGACTGGCACATTCTTCAAGACATAAACTAGGATAGAGGCTACCAGCAGCCAGAGGAGGGAGATTGGAAAATTATTGCTTCATGTATCCATAGCTTCAGTTTGAGGAAATGAAAATAGTGACCACACAAGGCTGTGATTTGTCTTAATGCCCCTGAACTGTACAGTGTGATGTGGTCAGAACGGTGAGTGTTACGTACGTGTTGAAAACATACAATGCCAGGGAGCGTTGGTCGTAGCTCTCGTCAGGTTCTGAGCATGCACAGCTTGTCCAGGGTGGGGTGTCATGGCGTGCAGGTGGCAGGCAGGGTCCCTGGTCCTTACACAGTGAACGCTGCCCGGTCTGCCTGTGTCCTGTGCGTGCCTCCAAGCCTCCCGGAGTGAACCGTGGAGCCATTAGTTGCCCTTTTCCCTGCAGGGGATTGTGGCTGGTGGCAGCCCAGCACCGGACAATGAGAAGAAGCTGTCTTCAGCTCATGTCCCCTGCTCCTTCCTAAGTCGTTGCCTCTTGGAGTACATGTGCAAGGGATCCGCAGCTCTTCAGGGTGTCAGTGTCCCTGCCCTGTACCCCGTAGGTGCGTATCGTGGTGTCCTTCCAGCCTAGGGCTGGGCAAAGGTTGCATGGCCAGAGGGGCCCAGGCTCCTTGACCAGACCGAATGCAGAGTATGGTGCACAGAGAAGGGCTCCGGGGAATGACGGGGACTCTGGCCCAGAAACATGGACAAGCAGATGCCTCACCATCAAGAAGTCGGTTCTCTGTGGAGAAGGCCCCTTCCTGCCAGACCAGCCACACTGGGCCCCTGGCTGCTGCACTGAGGTTTCGCATTAACAGAGGAAGGAGGGAGAAGGAGGAGGAGGGAGAAGGAAGGGAGGAGCTCGGGAAGCTCTCACACCTGAGCTGTGGAGTGGTTTTGGGCTTCGTGCCCCATGTGCCTTCTCCATGAAGGCGTTTGTGGCTGGTGTGGGGTAGGAGCTGCAGGATAAGGGTCTCCCTGGCCCTGGCAGCTGCTGCTCTGGGCACACTGCAGGAGCCCAAGGCAGCCCTGGGGTAGGAGGCTGGTCTTGAAGAGGTACTGAGAATCCAGCAGCTGGAAACCTCTGACATCTGTCAAAATAAAGCTGGCTTCTGAAGTTTGACTTCAGCATGACTGATGGAAAGTAGCCCTTTCCTCCTGGAGAGGGAGGCACCTCCATGCAGGTCCCTGGCCCTCTGCTGTCCCCTGGAGCTCTCCCACTTCCTTTCTTTAGAGGTGTCTGGGTGGACTGTGCCTGCGCCAGCCCTGCTGACTGGGCAGAGGCTGAGCTCTAACGCCAGCTGCGAGCAAGGCTGTTCTGGAAAGGCAGAGTCTTCCAAAAGGAGGATTCTGGTTCTGTAGATTAGAGGACCTGGATTCAGCCTTACGCCACCCATGGCCTTCTAAGGGGGCAGTGAGACCACTGCAGTCACCCGGGAGCCCCTGTACCTCCTTGCTCCCCTCAGCGGTCATCTGTTCTGTTCTTTCCCAGTTCAGCCATAAAGATCTCAGTTGCCTTGGTTCATCAGGAGTAGGGTACTTAGGTGGTTTTCATCAGTTTGAGTGTTGATTAAACTCATATTTGATGCGGCGACATACTCACATGCCATGCGCCTTTCAAATAGAGTGGCTTCAGTAGCGATGCAGCAGAAATGCGGCTATCTTGCTTTTCTCACCTCAGAGGACTTTTGTGAGCGAGGCCCACAGGCCCCAGGAAGATGCAGAAAAGGATAAGCGTGCCGGGAGGATGTGGGGGTGACTTGGGACTCCCACGACAGGCACTTCCAAAGGTGCCCATGGAGAGGCCTTGGCACACAGCTCTGTGCCCAGTGTTTACGGGCAGAGTGCCTGATGGGTAAGTGGACTTGTGCTTTGCCCGTGGCATGATGAATTTCCTTTCCTCCCGGGGAGAGGGTGTGGACATGGGCAGTTCCTGCTATCATGCCTGGCAGTGCACAAGACCCTGCATCCCCTTCCCCTGCACCACTGAAAGAGAAGAAAAGGTCTCATTTTAATCTGTGCAGCAGTTGCTGATGAGTTACCTTTTACCCTCTTTTAGAATAAACACAGAGTCTATGAGAGTCTGGTAAGTTGTCGAGGGTCACACAGCCATCGCGGAGCCAGAGTTCCAGCCAGGGTCTCGAGGACTCCAAAACCCTTCTTGTTTCCTTTCCATTCCCATCTTCTGGAGTCAAAAGTCTTTTCCCACACGAGATACGAGGCGCTGTTTACTCCTGAACCTGCCAGTACCAGCCAGCATTCTCCAGAGAAAAGGAATCCAATAATGAGGGGGGACGGAGCCTGCCAGAGACCCAGGGAAGAAAGGTAGTGTGAATCTGAAGGCAGGCTGCGGCCTGGCAGCATTTCCTCCTCTTTGTCCTCTTCTGGGCTTCTCCTGTTTGTTTGTTTTTTTTTGGTACTGGAGATGGAACTTGGGACCTTGTGCTTGTGAGGCAGGCGCCTGAACCTCTGAGCTAAATCCCCGGCCCTTCTGGGCTTCTCCTGATTCCAGGGGGCCCACCATGCCATGGAGACAAATCTGTGTATCAGAGACCACTGATTTAAGTGCGGCCCACAGCTGCGTGTCTTGAGTAATTGATGGGGTCTTCACAGAAACTTGTGTCATAATGCTTGAGCAAATGTCTGGGTATTGCACTGGGGCCACGTTTGTCAAACTGGAGGAACAGAGGAGCCGGCAGTGGGTACCTGGTGTGTGGGGAGTGAGACTCCGAGAGGGGGGACCCTCCAAGCCCTCTTCTGCAGCCTCTGAGCCACCTTCCGGTGGCTGGGGATGCCCAGCTACTGGGGTTGTATGCTTTCCATCCCATCTCTCCTGCTGCCCACCTGGGCCGTTTGAAGCCTCTTGGGATTTAGGAGCCCCGTGGTTTCCTCCCTTCTAGGGGAGAGGGCGGCTGGGAGGTGGTGAGCAGGGATTCGCCTGAGCTTCTGTGTGTTGATGGGGACAGGGAGCTTCCCTCTCCACACCATTGTGGAAATCACCTCTCTTTCCCATCTGCTCAGCCTTTTACAAAGGCCTCACGTGTGTTTTGATAAGCATGTGCACCTACAGGAGAAGAAATGATCAGCACGTGCAAATGGGTTCTGTGGACCTTCTGAGGGCGAAGTCAATTCCTGGCTGGCATGTGTCAGCCAGGAGTCTCCCCTGGCCTTCACTTCAGCCCTGAGACCTTTCCCCCAGGAGGCCACCTTGCCAAATCCCTGATGGTGGCTGCACACTGGTGGCTTTGCCAGCTCGAGGGCTTGGATGAAATTGAAATGCCTTTAGAAATCTTGCTCTGCTAGTGTCAGGGTAGAGATAATCAAGGCCATGAAGAAAGGGACATGCTTCCATGTCAACTTGAGGGCATATGTCTGACTCATTTGTTTATCCATTCATCACACAAACGTGTGTGTGTCTGTGGCACTGTGCGGGGTGGGGGGAGTGGGAATTCTCAGGTTACATGTCTGTTACAGGCTCGTGTTGTGTCCTGCCTGGGCTCGGAGAGGCTCACACACGTGTATGTAGGGTGCATGGCTGGGCCCCTTGTCTGGTCTGGGGCGAGAGGGGCATCCTAGCAGAGGAGCTGCTGAAGCCAGTATCTGAGGCCTCCTTGGTGCTGTCCAGGCCTGGTGGGTGGAGCAAACACATAGAAACCTTAAAGCAGGAAGTTTGGCGAATGTGAAGAATAGCAGCAGGCCAAGACCATGCACACAGCCAGCATGGGTACTTTGGTCTTCCAAGAGCTGGAAAGGCAAGTGCTTTCCTCTTTGGGTTCAGCCGTTAGACCTGTGGTTACCTTGCTGAGAAGGGCTATCAGATTTGGATGGTCAGGGTCTTCCAGCCTGGAGGTTGCTAGAGGTTAGTGGGTCATGCATTCAGTTTTGCAGCCAGCACTCGTAAAAGAATAGGGAAAGAGAGAGCATTGTCCACAGTAAGGTAAGTGTTGTTTCGCAAGACTTGTGTGTCTTGTGTACGTGTGTGTGCCTTCGGTTTCTGATATATGTAGTTCTTGTGGCTTGGAATCAGAAGTTGCATGTCAGAGCCGGTTCCTGAGTTGAGCTGTGGGAAGAACTCCCCTTAGGCACAGAACTGACTCTCCTGCCCATGCCTGGGGTCTCCCCTGGGACCACTGAATGCGTCTGCATGTGATTTCCAGACCCTGGTGAGCAGGGCTGGACCCTGTGCCCTTGCTGCTCAGCCCGAGGTCATACGTGTGCACATGGCTGTCTATGGGCACTGTGCCCCAATGTGCAAGGCCAGGCCTCCCTCAGCCTCCCCATCCCACGTGAGGGTCAGACCAGGGCCTGGATGATGCCAAAGAAGGTTGAGGTTGACTTCGGCGGAGCAGCTGACCCCTCAGGTCTCTTAGGAGAAAGAAGCTCCTGGCGAGCAGGTCAGGAAGCATTCCAGGGAGAAGACAGCGCACGTGCAAAGGCGTGGAGCCCCACTTGGGCGCTGTGGTGATTCTGGGCAGTGGACAGCAGAGTGAGGGCCCGGTGGAGGGGTGGGCAGGGCCAATGAGAAGCGGGTGTGACGTTAACCAGGGGCGACGATGTGCACTGCCCTTTGTCCTAGAAAGTTCACTCTGTGCCTAGTGGATTTGGAAAGGGCAGACTGGACTGGTAGAGACCAGTTTGAAGCTGTTCCAAGAGGAGGAGGATTTGGGTGCCAGTCCAGGGGCAGAGCCCGTCTGTTGTCCCCCTTGTGCAGACTTCGTAAGTGGATATCCCAGGTGCAGCGCCCTTTTCTCCTGGCTGCTCCCTGCTGGAGCCCGAGAGACACAGCAGAGACAGCGGTGAGGCCAGCAGCAGGTGCCAGGGGAGGGCATGCCGTTCAAAGTGCTTTCTCTTCCTTTGCAGTACAAACCTCGAGGGAACCTGGCTGGCTAGAGGGGACTCTGAACGGCAAGAGGGGTCTGATTCCACAGAATTACGTCAAGCTGCTGTAGCCCCGGGCCTCAGAGGGCCCCTGCTGACCCTGGCACCCACACCCCTGCCCGGGAGCGGCACTTCACACAGCACGGCCACGCTCGGGAATCACGGATCACCTTCGGCACTCCAGTCCTGGGGAAGGTGGAAGGCACTTGCCAAGCAGAACTGTGTCGATTGGTGGATGAGTCGACGAGTGTCAGGTTAACAGAATGGGTTTGTCCTTTGACAAGAATCGGGACCTGGGACTTTCGGTCGTTCGTCCTATAGAAGGAGAGGGAGGACAGCTGTCTGCCACCTCCACTGGCCGCCACAGCAGCAGACCCGCGGAGGATCCCTCTCCCCCTGCACCTGCCGCTGAGGTTTGAAAGGGAGCTGTCCTTCCTCCACCGGGCCGCAGGTGGCTGCTGGTGGGAGGGAATCGGTGTCAGCCTGGGGGAAGCAGAGAGTGCAGCCCTGCCCACGCCTGCCCCTTCCTGCAGGGCTGCCCTGGGCCCACACGCGCCCTGAGCACACCAGTGTATTTATAACAGGCTGCCCCCTGGTGCTCCTCACCTGTGTGTGCTTGCCCGGTGCCACCTTTTTACCCAAGACCCTCTCTGTAAATGCAATAAAGTGTAATTTACTGTTTGACTTCTGTGGTCTGATGTGGGGAAGGGATGCTGGAACTCATTCCCTCAGAAAGGATCTGCAACCTCGCAACTGTTGGAAAATCATTCTTGTCGGGTGGTGGCACACACGCACAGGTAGGGTGTGTTGATGGGGAGCCTTGCTCATTCTCAGGGGGACGCGTTCTGGGTGCCAGGGGCCGAGGACGTGGGAGCCTTTCCCCCAAAGGCAGGTGGCACAGTAGCAGGGCTGGGGTTGCTGGGGATGGCACTGTTAACTGTTGTGTCTGCTTGAGTAAGAAACGCCCATCTGGCTTAGCCAGTTCCGGATGTGGCTGAATGGTAGACACGCCCATCATGTGAGTGGCACCACCCAATAGGCTTTTACCCTGAATGGAATAAAAAGGCAAAGAAGGAAGCCCCGTGTGGTACTTTGCAGGAGCTCCAGTCTTCGCCATCACCTTTGGATGTCCCTTTCCAGCCTTCCAGCAGAGACCCTGCCGAATACAGACTGTAACGAGACTCTGCGGTGAGCTCCAGGTCTTCCACCTTCAACTGGCTCGTTCAGCTGTCCAGCTCACAGACGGTCCTTTTGCTCTCTTGCACACCTGACTCGGCAAGGCAGCCAGGAGTAATCAATCTGTTCCTCTAGTGAGCACTGACACAGGGTAGGAGCTGCATTTGTGCTGAAGGCTGGACCTCCTGTCCGGCTCCATCGGGCAAGTCTCTCCCACCTTACCCAGTGCATCCTGTGTCTTCCAGGCCTTGGCACCAATCCCCCTGGGCAGGGTCAGAAGCTGGCAGCTCATGATCCCAGTCCTTCCTGGAGGACCCATGGGCGCTTCATGCCTGAGGTTGCCCAGCGAGGGCAGGCCCTGCTCCAAGCTTCCTCCTGCTCCTCAGCCTTGACTCCAGGCACAGCCCAGCCAGCCTTGGAGCATGAAGCACTGTTTCAGTGGCCTCAGGAGACTGGAGCCGGCCGCACACCAGATGTTGCTGGGTGGGGAGTGGGTGATGTGTCACTCTTCCCTGGGAGAGCTTCCTGGACCTGTCAGACTTCTCCCTGGAGGATTTATTGAAAGAGGGATGTGTCTGTTGCCTCTTCCCCAGATAAACTGATTCACACGCTTGCTGTTTTGCTGGGTGACAGCACTGAAGTCACCTTATGTGGACCATGTAAGGGTTGCATTTGGAGCTGCAGGTTTAGTCTCCAGCCCATATTCCTATTGGAAGGTGGTGGAAACTTACGGGGTGGGGTCTTTTGGCTGGTTTAGTCATCAGTTGCCTTCAAAGGGAACTGTTGTACTGTTGTTTCTTCAACCTTCTGTGTCAGCCGCGAGTTAAATAGTATGCTCCCTGTCATGATGTGCTGTCAAAACAGGCAAATTGGTCATGGACTGAAACCTCCAAAACTGTGAGCCAAATAAACCTTTTGTCTTCGTAAGTTGATTTTCTCAAGTATTTTGTTACAGTTGCAAAAAGCTCACAAAGGAGGTAAGGATGGGAGAGGGACGTGCTTGTAGAAAAGTGCTTGCTGTGAATAAAAATAAGGACAGTTGTAGTGCAACACAATTTAAAATACTAGATCACAGGTTCCCTGGAAAGTTCTGAGGCTGCTGAGGAGCCCAGGACCACCCCACAGCAGCTGGCCTGGAGGCCGGTGTATGTGCTGACTTGGCTTTGGAGGCCGGAAGGCAGAACCTTGAGTGCCTCGTATTCTGAGCTGCCCTTTCGTGCTTCTCCCCCTCACCTAGGGCCTTAGAAGGGAAACGTGGCTTGTGAGAAGAGGTAGAGTATCTGCTATGGCTTATGTCTAACCCCTCCCCGCAAGCCTCATGCACTCGTGGATGGGGCTTTTGGGAGGTGACTGGATCATGGGTGTGTGACACTGGATTACTCCATTATGTGTTTATAGGGGTGATGCTGGGAGGTAAAGCCTGCTGGGAAGAGGTGGGTCACTGGGATTATGGCCTGAAAATAAATATGAATATGAATATACTCTCCTCCTCCCTTGATCCTGCCTGCCATGCCATGAGCTCTTTCATCTGCCATGACCCTCTACCATGCTAACTGTCTTGGAGCCTACTGACAATGGACTGAAACCTCTACAAACTGTGAGCTAAAATAAATGTTTCTCCTTTAAATTGTGGGTGTTGGGTATTGTGTCTCAGTCATGAGAAAGTAACCAAGACTGTCCCACTTTACAAAAACTCCAGAGGACAAGCGCACCTATGGGCAGTGGCCCCAGAGAGCAATGGCAGTGATATCTGGCAGTGTTCCTAATTGCTGTGTCCCTAGGGGCCATTAAACATGACATGCTGCACCAGGACTTGATTTATTTGCTTGTCCAAGAAAGATTCCCATTGTTCACACTGAGGTACATAACCCAAAGTGCTTTGCCACTGTTTGGTTAAGGTAGTACCACTAAGTCTGGCCATCTGACCTTGGGCAAGGTAAATTACCTCCATGTTACTGTGCATGCCGCCCCCACGAAAGCATCATACCTAGAGGTAGGGGTTGAAATGACCTAACAGCAGTAACCTGTCCAGTATGAGCTCAGTGGGAAAGGGTGGTCCCTTTATTTTACTGCCACACTGTGACTCTGTGTTCCTTAAGATGCCAGTCTGACAGTACTGCCATTCCAGAGTAGTGCAGTTGCAAAGGCTCCTTTGCCTAGAGCCCAGCAGACCTGCCCTGCTTTTACTTCGGAGGAAGAGGGTAGTGCCAGAGGAGAGCCAAGGCCGTTTGCTTGTGAGAACATGACCCTTGAGTACAGTGGGGCCCGGCTGGGCAAGGCCCAAAATATACTTAGTAATGGGATGAAGGGTGTTTGTTTTTCACTGCTGGACCGTCTTCCTTTCACCAGAAGAGAAGTGGGTCTGTGTTTACTGGATGAGCATGGATGACTCCAAGCCTCTGAAGAGGGTGTGCCCATGCATGGTGGACTCTGGCCTCCCGGCCCCACCCCTCCTGGGACCCGGTCTGGAGCCCATGTTCATGCAGAGGCCGGCATGGTGTCTTGGGTGAAAGACAGCACTCAGAATTTGTTTCTTGTTTGCAGCGGGGGATACAGGGCCTGCATTGCTGGTGTCACCCACAGGGGCGCCCCTGCATGCGTGAAGGGGATGTCAGGTAAGAAAAGAGCCAAAGAGACTGTGGGTGGCTGCAGCCTTCTTGGGTAACAGCAGGAGTGTGTGAATCTGGGGTGGGGTAGGGAAAGGAAGGGCTGTCTGCCAGTGATGAGTGCTTAACTCACTTTCTCCTTACGGTGACCGTGTGGACCAAGGGGAATAATCCCATTTTAGGGATGAGAAAACGGGCAAAGCACTTGCTCTAGGTCAGTAGTAGTGAAGTCCCCCTTTTCCTGCACCATCTGGTCTCGGAGGCCAGCAGAGACAGTGGCTATTACAGATGGCATCCACCACCCCATTCACACGTTGGTCTTCATCTCCAGTGTCAGAATGTGACTTCGTGTGGAAAACAGGTCATTCAGAGGTGACTGAATTGAGCACAGTAGGGTTGGGCCCTCTTCCACTATGACTGGTGTCATTTCCCAAGGGGGAAATTTGGATACAGAGGAAGACAGGCACAGAGGCAAGAGGATAGAGACACAGGAGGAGACCGCTGTCTCTCAGCTGAGTGAGGCCCTGGGTGGATCCTGTCTGCAGAGCCTCAGATGGAAGCCACCTGCCTATGCCTTGACACAGACTTCTAGCTCCGGAGCTGTGAAAAGGTAACTTTCTGTAGCTCAAGGTGCCCAGTTTGCTGTACTTCGTTAAAACAGCTCTAGGAAACCAATACCATGGGTAAAAGTGCATGTTTTGAATTACACTCAACCTACTTTGAAATCCGGTGTTCAGTGTTTTTAACCTCAGTGACCTCGGATGAATTACTTGGCCTATACCAGCCTCTTGGGACAGCATGATAATTGGGGAACATCAAGTGCTTGGGGAATGCATGGCAAAAAAGAGTTCAGCAAAGAGGTGAGCCCGGTATGGTGGTGGGGGATCATCTGGCTGTGTCCTATTGCTAAACCATGGTTATGGTTTAGATCGTCAGTGCCCCCTCCCCACAAAGGTCCATGTACTGAAAGCTGACAACTCAGCTTATTCTTGTAAAGCATTTATGTCTGGCCAGGAGTATCTTAGTCTACTGCTTAGAACAATATATTGGAGAGCACTTGTCTATTTGAAGATTAACTTGATTGATTGTTGATTATCTAATGAAAGACCTGCACTTTGGACTTGAGTCATGACTATGAATGGGATACATCTAGAAGGCTCAGTGCCATGAGTTAGTATCTGAATTTCTTCCTTGGAGAGTTTAGCAGCTTTGGAAATGCTGAGAGGCCAAGTGGCAGGAGCACTCTCAGACACAGATGGGGCAGGGCTGGCCCAGGGCAGGAAGATCTTTTTAGATCCACAGAAGTGAGTTTTTCAGACAAGGGGAAATGGAAGCATCCATTCTACTTAAGAATATCTGAGTAAGTGCTACTGGCAGACTGATTTAATGATGCCAACCTTTCATACTTCTCTGGTTCCATGTTCTTGTATAAAGAGCTCTTCCCCTGTTGACTGTGGGCTTGACCTTGTAGCTTGCTTTGGGCAATGAGACAGAAGCAAACCTGATACAACCAAAGCTTTGCAGCTTTTCACCTTCATTTTTAGAGTGCTGTCTCTGCCAGGCTCGCCTGCTGGAGGACCGAGACTACACGGTCTAAAGCTCTCATAGCCTAGATGGCTGCAGGTTGACCACATGTGTGAACAAGCCCAGCTCGCCTGAGCCTGGCCCTTACCAAAACTCCCTGGGCCAACTTAGAAACTTATGAGAAATGAGAAATGCTGGTTGGCTGATAACTAAATTCTAGGGTGGTGGTTATGCATTTTGCTATGGGCAGTCTTGGCCCATGCTGAATATTGAGATGGTGTCTTAATCCTCTCTCCCCCAACGTTGTTTGGGAATCTACTGTTTGATTTCCATGAAGAGCGCTGCACTAGCAGCTAGATGACTTGAAAGTGCCAGAGGTATAGAAATCACATCATTTGAATCTGTGTATTCAGTACTTGTGTTTATCAAAAAGTATGTTAATTCAGATTTCTACATAAAGGGACAATGTTTCCTATTTGCTTAGGGGACATTCAACATACAGAAGCAAACAAAGCCCTCAGTATATGTGCAAGACTAGGCATGGCTTCAACCGTACTGTTGTGTAGTAGCTGATAGAGCCGGTTCTCAGCTAATGATTCCCAAATGTGCAGCTGAGTTCTTTGGCCCTGAGGCTGCTTTTAAAAATTCTGAGTGAAATAAAGGCATCCTTGACCCAAGAATAAGCCTACTCACCTCAAAAAGGGCACCCACTTTAAGGGTGCAGCCATGCTTCTTAGAAGGTCACATTTCTTAATTATTAAATATAAATTTCCTCCATTTAGAGGTGCTTTATGAAAAATACTGTGCACACAGCTATTTTCTTGTGCTGTGTTCAGTGGCTGCACTGTGTTCATGATTACTGTATTAAAGCACAGTCAAATTGATTAGTTTTCTTTTTGAAACCAAGTAGACCCAACAGTCAGTGTTTAAATGACACATTAGAAATGAACTTGAATTTATCTTGTGGGAAATAAATGTTTTCTGTTTTAAAATGAGCTGGTAATTGCTTTCTGCTGTTGTGTGGTCCTGGTTAATGAGTGGACTCAGGGCGAGAGACTGAGGAGGAGTGTGCCAAACATCAGGGCCAGTGAGGAGCTGAGCTTCGATAGCCCAAGGAAACTGCTGGTGAGAGACACCAGGAGGAGGAAGAGGAGGAGCAGGAGGAGGAGGAACTTTGGAATCAGGACATTGCTGGTTCACTCAGGTGAGTCTCAGAAGTCTACAGAATGAGTTTTTCTGTGACTGTGAAGTTATACGAAACAGTGCATATACAGTAGTTACGGGGTATGTTAGTGCACCAGTGTTAGCAATAACAAACATGGTATCTCATCAGTCCCCAGAGTAAACCTGCCACTCACATAGAGCTCCTCTGAGCAAGGGACAGGATGCCTGTTGTTCCTGCTTGGCTGGAAATAGCACAGATAATCAGAATTTGGACTGGCACAAAGTCTAGCTGTACCTATAGACACTTAAATGAACCATTTCCCAAACAACGGGTGATTAAAGTAAAGGATTTATTGTAATCTGCTTACAGTCCTTTGCAAAGACAGACATGTTTTTGCATAAAGATATAAACTGCTTCATTTTAAACTAATTTAGTGTTTAATTATATGAAGAAGTTTTGGTGAATTATGAATTGTACCAAACCAAGATTCTTAAGAGCAATATGGTACAAAAATAAGAGCAGACAGACAATTTGGACTGGGACAGGCATTCAACAGTGAATTTAGAGTATGGCTTTGCTGTTTAATCAAGCAAAGTTACCTGGAGACACACAAAGCGCCAGTAACTTTGTTAATACAAAAAGCTGATGCAGACTGTTTCATCCCAAACCTGATAAAGTTGAAATTCTGGCTTCATAAAAAGTTGTCTGAACTAAAAGCTGCTTTTACTACCATTTCTTTTCCAGAAACTCCCAGTCTGCATGCTGTGTATTTATCACCTTTAGTGTGTGGCTTTCATATTGCTGTGCATGTGAGTTGACTGCATTGAAAGATCTGCCTAGAAATTAAACTCTTGAAATTGCGGATTTTGTAAGGAAAAGTCTTCCTTCTGAGGGCTGCTTCCACAGGTTTCCCCTTGCATAAGGCAGGTGTCTTTTAAAAGACAAGGTGGGTAATGTTGCCTGCATGGTGAACCCTGGAGAGGTGCTGATCTGATCTTTCCTTCTCCCAGCCTCAGTTTGAGCTACAGCTGTTAGGTTTTGGAAAATAATGAGATTTCACTGAGTATGTGATGGTTACCATCACTACTTTTAAAGGATTAATTTGGCCTCTATTCAGAGTAGTTTAGTGCAATCACATTGTTAGTTTCTCCAAAGAGGGAGAGAGAGAGAGATGTGATTTAGGGCAAGAGAAAAGCCATAAATTGTATCAGTGCCAAACAGATTAATGAATTAAAAATTTTAGTGCCACTGTCTTGCTTATATGATCTGTAGTGTTTTTTTTCTCCAAAACTGTTTATGTATAAAATTTATTTTTAAAACCTACCTTTAAAAAATCTAAAAACCTTCTAATGATCTTCCGGTCTCCACACCACTGTGATAGACCTTTGCCAAGATGGATTGTCCCAGTACATCCTGCCACGATCTACGTGTTCCCGAGACCAATTCCAGGAGTGCCAGATGCTTTCCGGGAGCAGGAATGAGCCCCTGATTTCGGACAGACGTGCACAGTGTCTGGAACTCCCCGCCCCACGGGTGACATTGGCTTTTTTGAAAAGGGCGGAGAATAGTGCTCTCTGAGCGGAGTTTCTAGCCACCGCCTCCAGGAGCTGATGCTGCTGCTTGTGGGAAAGGGGAAAGAGGCAGCTTTCCGGGAGCTGAGCCCTGCCGGGACCTTCTGTCCCCGGAGTGCCATCAGAAACACCTGCAAGGAGCTGCCCACACCTCCATATGTCATCCCCCGATGGAAGCAGGATAAAGCGGATGAAGCAGAAGCTGGAAAAAAGTGCTCGAGTCTCACAAACACCCCAACTGGGAGACCAGGAACAAAACAAAAAGTACAGAAAAAGTAGAAAGGCTTAAAGACAACCGAGGAGGTCGAAGTGTGGTTATTTACAACAGAGACTGTAAAATGGTAAATTAGATACGAAGCTAAAAAAGGCACAGCGTTCCCTTTCTTAAATACACTGTAAACGGTTCATTATGCATGCAGAACATTTCACTTTACAAAAGAAAATTTTTACCTTGTTTAGACAAAGATAGTACTTAAATAGTCTCCAGTAAAATAGAATTCTTTCAAAAATACTTTCCCATTCATCCTATTAACCATTAAATTTTTTTTGTATGTGTCTCATTTACAAAAGTTCCTTACACCTTATTTCAGGTCCTTCACGATTTATACATACAGTAATGTACAGCACAGCAAAAGACTGCAAAAAATTATTTGTAAAGCCAACACAATAGGTACTAGAAATTGAAACCAAGGCATTTGTTTTAACATCTTATCCATTCTAATTAAATAATAAATGGATGCTAACAAGTGTGTATACCAGAGAGGGCCGCTATTCCAAGCCACGTATTCTGTTATTACACAACAGGAATCTGTATATATTTTTTCTTTTTTGTTTTTTAAATAACAAAAGAATTTTAATGCCCCGTATTGACTATACGTTTTTATGTGCAAACCACAGGTAAGCTTTAAAAAGTTTGTTAGTCCTTGAACCCTTTTAAAACAAGCGAACGATACTGGAAACTACATGGCATAGTTAAAACTTCCATCTGTTAAAATATCAAAATCAGAAAGTTATTGACTAGATATGGCTTTTCATCCAGAGGAACATGTTTCTAAGCGCTGGGACTGGAGAGGGAAGAGTCCTTTAGGCTGCTCCGATCTTGCCAAATCCATGTCAAATGGCTTTCCCAGCTCCAAACCCTCGATGTGATTTTAAGCTTGAGAGACTGCTGACAAGTGGTGAATCAACCATGATTTCTCGAGTCCTTTGTGGGTGTGGAATAACACGGGGAAACTTAAGGCAAAGTTCTTCTGGTAAGACGTCTCCCATCACTTCCTGTGAAAGTAAAGGGCCTTGGCATTGCCGGATTCTACCTTTGGCAGCTGGTCACTGATGATCTCCACCAGCATTGCAGGGAACTCCACTTTCAGGGCCTGGGACTCTCGGAAAGTGTAGAAGCAAAACTCCAGCAAGTCACTCACCAGCTGCAACACACAGACACGGGACATGGCGTGAGGGCCACACTTCCATCCTCTAGTGGACTGAAACCTCCAAAATGGTCAGCCACGAGCAACCTTTCCTTTTTATAAATTGCTCATCTCAGGTATTTGTGACAGTAACACACCCCAAATTGGTCACTTCCTATTCTATCACAACAAACAATATGAATGTTGCCTGTCATAAAGCAAGTCTGTAGTCTTAATAGAGTGATTTTGGTAAAACTGAGCTTGTAATTTACCCCTCATGATTAAAAAAAAACAATTAGGATGCTTCAGTAGAGCCAAACAGTAAATAACTGTGAGGCAAGTACCTTCAATGTAATCCAGGAACCAACAACAATCTCATCAGGGAAAACGCAGCGCTTCTGTCTATGCCTGTGTTCTGTTCTCAGCCTACAGAGTGTACTCAGCAGGGCCCCAGAGAAAAATGCCCATGTTGTGTCCTCCTCCACCAAGAACAAAGATGCAGGGAGCAATCCAGAGAATCTCCCTCTCTGGGGTCCTGTGAAGGGTCTGGACAGCTGCCCGCCAGGTGGCCCTGCCTTTGCACTCTGGACCTGGACTCCTGAGAGGCTCAGCTCCGTGAGGTCCAGGCCCTAAGAATCATTTCGTATCAGGCCATTCTTAGCTCAGCCTACTGAGGTCCTGCCCACCGACCCTCAGTCCAGGGAAATGACTTGGGCGACCTCTCTGAGCTCAGCAACTGGAGCCCAGTCAGAGTCAACCATGTGGCGATACTGGACCCCACACACTGCCCAGAGCTTTCAGGTTGTCCACCCCACTGCATCCCAGCTGGCAGTTCCATGATTCCTGCAGTGTGAGTCACTGAGACACTTGTTAATGCCACTAGTGCTGGTTATGACTGAAGAAGCTTCATCAACACTACACGAAAGCACCCCTGGATCCAAACCAACACAGTGTATCCAATCAGCACCCTTGGACATACTGCCAGGAGAAAAGTTTTAACCATGAAAGCCAACCTGTGAAATTGGTAACAGTCCACTGACCCACAGATCCAGAAATTCCAATATAGGAACACAAGAGTCATGATAAAACAGGGTAAGTTGATAATGCTGAAGGAACAAAAATTTCCAGCAATAGACCCCAAGAAAAGGAAATTGGTGAACTGCACAACACAGAATTCAAGTGCTTTTAAGGAAATGAGATATAAAACAATATAGGCAGACAATTCAGTACAGTCTGGTAATAGACAGGAAGATCTTATGTTTATGCCCAGGCAAAAGGACCAGTATGTAGAATATATATATAAAAAAAAATTAGATCCCCCCAATGAAAAACCAATCAAAATGGGCAACTGAAATGAACAGACACTGCTCAGAAGAAGTACAAGTGACTAATAAACACATGAGAAATGCAAATTAAAACTGGTGAGATTCCATCTTCTGAAAGAATGGCTATTGTCAAGAAATCAAGTAATCAGTGCTGTTGAGGCTTCAAGGAAAAAGAACAGTTCAATGTTTTGGGGAATGTAAGCTAATACATTCAGTATGGAGATTCCTTAAAAAAAAAAAAAGAAATTCCATTCAACCTAACTATTTCCTTCTAGGAATCTTCCCAAAACAGTTAAAGTTATCATATTACAGTGAGACATGCACACCCATCATTATAGTAGCACAATTTATAATAGCTAAATCTTGGAAACAGCCTATATGTCCATCAATGAATGAATGAATAAAGAAAATGTATTTATTTATACCCAATGCCTTAAATATAAATCTAATGCATATTTAGATAAATAGATGCAACTTAAGACTATAATGTTAAGTGAAATAAATTAGACACACAAGTTTATATGTTGCATGGTCTCTCATATGAAAAACCCAAAATCTCAAGAGCAAAATAAAGGATAGGTAATGGGTAGGAGAGAGAGATTTTTTTTAATGGAAAATACAGTATTTTATTAAGTTTTACTTAGGAAGTAGAACTTTTACTTTATTCCAACATTTTCTTCAGAGGTAGACTTTGTTTTTATTTCAATGAGTTCTTCTACTCAAGCTAGAACACTTTCAATCAAATCACATGTGAAAAGAGCTGAATGTAGGACCTTAAGCTGCACTTCAGGAGGCATATTGGGGATCTCTTCTCTACCTATTGTTACAGAACAAAGGTCCTTAGGGTTTTGACTACTTGGTTATATTCTTGGCTATTTTTAATTTCTGCTTCATAGTGTGCTTCTGACATATTAAGTCCTGTATGAAGTGGCTTTAAGAAATTATTCTCAATCTTTCCAAGTTCTATCCATAATCCAGTTTGATTGTCATTTTCATTATCTTTGATAACCAAATACCTCAATACATTTAATGCAGCCATAATCCTATCTGAGTTTTGTAGTAAATCTGTTTCAACACCCTCTGGGAGAAACAGCTCCAAATCTAAAAGAGAAATCAGCTGTGGTCCTGTAAACCATTTGTTAGGTGTTTTCTTAAATGACATCAATTTGATTTTTGATATTTTAAATAACAAAGGCCTCCACACCTGAGTGATTACTTGTATTCAACAAGCACCTAAATAATGTATATTTGCCTTGTGAATCCAACAACTTAATATACAACGGAAGCACGGCTAAACCTTTTTTTCTCAATGTCTCAACTGGGCAAAGTGTCATTACTTTGACTAAGCTCTGAGGTACAGTAAGGAAATTCTTGATTTCTAAGAACTGGTAAAGTAGACTGTTATCTTCTATTCTCAATAAACCATTCTTCAGTAGTTCCAATTCTTTGGACAAAACAGACTCTTCTGTTCCTTTGCAAAAAGACTTCAGTATGCCCCATATTAAACTGCAAAATGTATGAAGGGCTTAAAACCACTGGCAGCTGATCAATTTTGATGCCCTGAACAAATACTAGATATGCCAGAACAAATACTAGATATGCCAGAGAGGCCATAGAGTCTGCTAATTGTTTGTCTTCTTCTTCCTCAAATTCAAGGTAATTCCATATCCTCTTTTCCCTTCCATGATTAAAAATAATTTTTGGAAAAGGGTATCTAATTGCTGATAAAAAAAACCCTATTATTTCAGATGCAAAGCATCTTAAGAGATTATTTCCTGCTTCTTCAGATTGTTCAAGGAATTGTGCTGTCAGCAAAGGGTATTTCAAGCTTTTAAAACAAAATTTCAGTAATTCATCCTTTAATTTTTTGTTTTCATTTTCCTTGTTTTCTTTATCATCAATGACTTCTTCCACAAAAGGTTTACTGAACTCTATTAAGGCCTTGCAACACTGACAAAGGCCATAGTCATCTGCTTGTATTTGATCTTTTGAGTAAGGAACAGGAAGAAGAGACAGTTGACTCCAAAGGATAGATAACGGTAATCCAACTGAACATGCCTTGTTGTTAGGAAGTTTCTGAATCACTGTTTGGGATATCTGTTTTCCAGAGGGCTCTTCAATTAGTTCGAGCAAACCCAACAATAATTCCTTTGGATTACATAACTTTACCAGTAAATCAGGAACTAGAAAATATTTTTTTCTTTTATCATTTTCTTTATCATTCCTTAAAAGGCACTGAACAACAGGGCCAACAAGGTTCCAGCCCATGGTTTTGATGACTGTATTCTTTTCATTTTGAATAATTTCTAATAACTGAACTATGTGGCCTTCTTCTATGCATTTTTGGCCTGCTAACTGAAATAGGCCAAAATCTTCCTCTTTAAAGTCATGCTCTTCTAAGATTTGACATTTCTTTATTATGGACTGGAGTTCTTCCACAGCCATTCCTAATTATTTTTCCAAGTTTTGATTCTGAAACACCTAGCGCGCTGGAGAGCTGCATCCAGGGGAAGCCATTTCTACCGATTCCTGCAGGAGGCCTTGTCGACCCTCAGCACCTCTCTCACTGCCAACCGTGGGTGGAGATGGCCCCTGACTTGACGCCTACTTTCCCGCCAGACCTCGCGGCCCTCTGAGAGATCTTTTTCAGTGGGGAAAGGCAACAGGAGATGGAGGGGGAGGAAAGGAAGGGAAATAGCATTAAAGAGAATTGAAGAAAATGGAAACTGAGCTTTTTTCAAGTTGGAAGGGGATCAAGAGTTGGAGTAGGGAAGGCTGGCACAATGAATTAAGATATGTACACGAACAAATTCCCCATGATGAAGTCTCAAAAGGGGGCAGGGAATAAAGCCCAATATAAATAGCAAGTTTTTAAAAGAATTAGGTAATTCATGAAATAAGAAATTTAGCAAAGAGCCACAAAAATTATGGAGCTAAAGAACTCCATAAATGAAATTAAAAATACGTGTGAGAGTCTGAACAACAGAACTGACCAGGCAGAAGAAAAAATTGCAGAGCTTGAAGATGAGTTTTGTAATATCCCAGCTGTACTTTTTAAAAACGTAGAGTCTTCAAGACTTACGAGATATGATTAAACCAGCAAGCTTTCAGATTATTGGTTCCAGAAGGAGAAGATAGGAAAAGGCATAAAAATATGCTTTTTGAGAAAGGGTCCCACTGTGTAGCACAGGCTGACCTCAAACTTATGGCAATCTTCCTGCCCCAGCCTCCTGAGTGCTGGGATTACAGGCATGTGCCATTATGCCCAGTGATATAACTATTGACTTGAAAACTTTCTAAGTCTGGAAGAAGATACAGACATACCTCAAAGAACCCCTGCCAAAAAAAATATGCATGTGAACAAGGAGGAGAGGTGGGATATGGCAGAATAGAAATGCCCAGGACTTACTTCTCCACAAAGAAAAACCAGAGTAACAAGGGTATTGCTCCGTTTTGAGGTGAGTGAATGAGGGAGAACACTGGAAATTAATAACAGAGACTGGACAACAGTAAAGGAAGAGAAACAAAATACCCTAATATCTTGGCATCTCAGCTCCACAGCCAGGAAAGGGGGAGTGTCCCCTTTGTAGGGGTAAGGGTCCTGGCAATTCTACTTGGAACTTTCACAACCCTCAGGAAACCTGAAATCTCCATGGTAGTCCTGCTTTGGAAAAGGTTCTCCCATCATCTCAC